ACAAATAAATTATCCAATCTAACAATGAAACGAGATAGTTTTCATTAATGGGGTCCACTGAAAATAAGAGAGTTAATGTATTTATACTAAAAATCTATGTGGTATATTTGGCTGCTCCTGACGCAACTCGTTAGTTTGCAAATGGCGACAACAGTGACATAAGACACATCTATAATTACAATAATAACTCATGATTGGAGCAGGATCATAAGATATAATCATTGTAATTCGATTTAAAAATGTGTAACATATATATTGCAATTTTTACTTAGTAACAACTTTACCAAGACTTATATAACTAATATGTAAAGATAACCCCAAAGTAAGATTACTAATGCAAAAAAAGATAAATTTAAAACATAATAATTTTAATTATATCTTTTTAAATGCAGTATGGGAGACGATTGATATATGATGTAAAATGATAATCAAGTTTAACGCTTAAGGATAATTATTCAAAACTAATGATTTAAATGTTTTAATATATAATAATAAATAAAAAATGTTGACCGGGAATATCTTACCATAAGCTTTAATTTAACTGAATAAAATTCAACAAAATTTGATTTTGCTCTACACAAAATTGAATAACACATTTAAACATAAGCCGTATCAGCATGGGTAAATTTAAAAGTTCAAAATCAGAGAATAAGACATATACTTATTAAGGTCTGTAAGTTTTTATGTTATTTCACTTAACAATAAATTGTTAACATTCTAATACAAGTTTGATATTAAAGTAAAAGTTATAATATTTTATTCATACACATTATTAATCAAAAATTATTTAGGTCAAACTTACAGATGTCAACGAATAATTGTTTTGAAATTATAGAAACTTTAGAAATAAATGTATTTTATTGTTATGTAATGTCTTTTGTATTATTTTTCCTTTAGATTTTGTTATTTACAAGCAAAGAACTTAAATTATTACTTATTTATTGTATAGTAAATATCTGAAATAATTTTTACTATTCATAAAAAATACTTTTCTGAAAATTTTGTGTTTTAAATTTTAGATTAATTAAATGTTAAGTACCAAAAAGAGAATAAATGAGTAAATATTTTAGTGAAACACCACACAGGATCTAATAAGGTGAGGGTGCTAGAAACGACGAGCACCTATGAGTCTTATTCGAACTTAACTACCTACTTTACTAACCATGAAATAATAAGTATTTGTAAAAGCTTTTATTCGTTAAATTCATGGAATTAATGTCTGTCGTCAAATGAGAAGTTAAGTTATTATTGATTTCAATTTCATCATTATACCATTCTTATACTATAACTTACAAGGCTTTCATAGAATATTTCTATTTTTGTTGTATGGTAAATAATCGAACCGTTTTTCAGTTACAAACCAGCTATATAATGTGACATTTTCAAATAAAATGTAGAAATTATGCCATTTGGTTAATGCTTTTTTTTTATTAACGTTTGAAATATGGGAACAAATAATGTATTATACCAATAAGATACTTGTATATAATAAGAACTGATTACTTGTGTCTAATATTATTTAAAATTAAAAATGAATCTAAAATATTAATTTAAAACTAATATTACTGTTACTGATGATGGTAACATTGTTCCCGAAGTACGTTTACATTTTTTTTTAAATAATTTTTGTAGCTCTTTTAGATAAATATTTTTTAGGTTTAAATTAATGTATTTGAAAATAAATAAATTAAATATGAATTCAAAACAAATTTTAAATTTTAAAAACACTTTCACATGAAATGAAATAAAAAAGCTACAGAAGTTAAATGAATTTAGAAAGATTGAATTGTTTTATATGCGCATAGATATTCTTTTTTTTAGCTTCGATGCGAAGCTGAGAAGGTTTTACATATCTATTAGAGTACTATTAAATAAAACAATTTAATATGTAGTTCGATACTCTGATTTTCTTAATGTATTTATACATTATTTATACGGTTCATGAATAACGAAAATACTCTTTTATAAAATGCAATATAACTTTGTCATAAAAGCATTCGAAAACATTATTAAGAAAATATAAATACAATGAAAATAAAATTATTAATTATAATTTAATGTAAACGGTTTATTTTACCTAAATTTTCATAATTTCAAATTTGATAACCTTTAGGTGACAATTAATTTTCTTGTACTTTTCACTTTACTTAAACTACCATAAGTTGCATTACAATGTTTGCAAAATTCCTATTTTCTTTCGAACTACAATATAACAGATCTATAACAATCATTATTGATACCTATATGAATAATTAAATCTAAAGTAATTCAAATTTTATTTATGATTTACGCAAGTTAAGTACAAAATAGATAAATATTTTATTATTTATTTTAGATCTAAATGAAATATTCAATTCAAAAAGGTATTGTTTAATTTTCTAAGGTCATAATACAAGTAAAATTATATAAAAAGTGTGTCTTTTATCTCAAAAAATTCGCGTAAATAAAAAGGCAAGATTTTAAATAAAATAGTATTAGAACAAGTGTAAAATTATAGTTAACAGAAGATTTGTATAACATCCAATTTATGTCGTCCGAGTTTTTAGTTCATCAAATAATAAATCTCAATACAAATAGAAAAATATGTATACACATAAAGTAGAGTTATACATATACGTATTCGGATTACTATCTTTGTTTAGAGTAATAAATTTAGCTTAAAGGTTTACCTATCTAAATATAGTATTAAATTTTAATAGTAAAAAGAACACTAAATACTTATGTAATATATTATCGTAAATTTATAGACTAAGTACAATAATAGTCATCTATATAACGCAATGACAGGATACAAAAAAGTGATATGGATTTAATTAATCAATTTTCATTGAATTACTATTTTTTCCTCTTTAGATATTTATAAAAATCACTAAATTAGTTAAGTTATTTTCTACTAATTGAATGTAAACAATTACGAACAAATTGTATTAAACTACAACTAGTTTAAAGAATTAATAATAAATGTACATTATACAAAGTACATTATTTTAATACCAAATCTTAGACAAAACATGATCTTGATTATTTTTTAAAATTTAATTTCAATTCTAAATGACATTTAAAAATTATAAAATTTAAATTTTTGTTTTATTACTATGGTAGTAATTAATAAATAAATGAGAAAACAAATACAGTTGACTGGTGTCTTATGTTGGCTTTACCTAACGTAGACACCAAAACACACACGAAAGAAACGATTTCGACTTTTTAATATTAACCGCGTTTCTGTAATTCCTCGCGTACACTTGTCGGAATATGCCGTTCAGCCTTATACTCTCAAGTTAGTGAGCCACTAAAGGTGTACCCTACAGACTCGTCAGCCCAGTTTAGCTCGATAGTAGCAGACTGAAGGATGACCCCTTGATAGACACCAGTACAACTATTTTTCACACTACTAACTATAGGATGAATTAGTCCAGAGACTAGCCAGCTCACACACTAACTATTGGCATTGGCTGAAGGACCAGCAACCCGATATACAATAAACAAGTTGATATTTGTCAAATAACAGATATATTACGTCTCTTTCAATTTATTTGAAACGTCAAATAAACAGATAGTACGTATAAAGGCGAGGAGTAAGAAGGTGTGATACTTAAACTGATAGATATAGTACATACTTGCTGGTTGAACCATAATATTTAAAACTAGAATCAAAAGCTTGAAGTTGACAAGAAAGTAGAGCAGAGATGAGAATGCTTAGATAGATGAGTGGAGTGACTAGAGAAGATAGGATAAGTGTAGATGATAGGTGTAGATGATAAGTGTAGATAGTATGGAAGATCGTGTCAAATGACCGACCCCATGTAGTTGGGATTAAGACAAGGAAAAAGAAGAAGATTTATATTTAATGTTAGTTAGATATATGTAACTTTTATAAAAATTGTTGGATTCATTATTATGGAAAACCCTTATTAGGTATTTTAAAATAAACAACAAAAATAAAATTTGAACACAAAAATAGCATGTTTCTGAACTACTGCATCCAATAGCATAAAAAAGATAGGTCGTCGGAACAATTTTTTTTTTTTTTTTAATTTATAGTACAGAACATAATTTTTAATTTGATACATGTTTAAAGGATACAATATTTCCGGGACTTTTTCAAAAGTTAAGTTGAGTTTTGTGAAAAGTTACTATTTTGAATCTTTTCTTGTGGGTTGGTCAAATAAAAGGGAATTAATTAAGGTTTCAATATAAAATATAATTATTTTGATTTGTTAATTATTCAATAAGTTATCGCAATTTTTAGGGAAAAAAAGTGAATAAATTTACTGATTTTAAAAATCGTAATTTTTTGGGGGATTTTCACCATTTACGGGGAACGAGGGCTTTGATAAAAGGGATTTTTTTTCATTTTTGGGGGTATTGTCTTCATCTAGATACAATTTGTGATCTTTTGACGTATCGTTGAGAAAAATTGGTCCAGTGAGAGCTGAGAAAAAGTAATGACAGACACAAAAAATAAATAAATAAATAAACACATCATAGTAAAACTATTATCTTCTCAGTTTCGCATCGAAGCTAAAACTGTTACGAACATAATATCAACATCAACATCATGCGTCTGGTACGAATATCAATAGTTCAGTATGATATATTTATTATTTACTGAATTAATTGTTACCAGAATATTTGTTTATTAAACCATGATAGTACAATGTTTTTGAAATTTGAATTAATTAATTGTTGCACTATTAATTCAGGCCATTTGGGACTGTTTTTAAAGTAAGGGGTGCGGTTGCACACCCTGACCCTTCCCAAATGATGCCCCTGAATTTTAATATTTATATTTTGATGAAAAAATTATTATTTAACAAAAAAAATGAGGAATAAAATATTTATTTTTCTCTTGATTATACATAATCAAACTTAATATGTTTTGTGACAATTATATTAAACTAACCCAACCTTTAACTTCTAGTCAAGTATGACATTTTAGAAATAACTGTAATAATAATTATAATTTTAAATTATTAAGTTACGATAAAAATACTTACTCATTTAAAAAAACTGATCGAGTGTGTTTCAAGTCACCACTACTTCTACGATATGGATCCTTATAATTATATTTACTAGATTTACAAGGTTTATTAGGAGATGACTGTGGTGAAAATTTAACACACGAATTTCGGAATACGTTTGCCGATGATGTCGGCTTGCTGCATTTTTTCCCACTAATTCCACCTAAAATAACATCACAATACACATTTTAATGTAGATAAAGTATATAAGTATATATAAAAAACTAATTACATTAATAATCCAGAATTATTGATCTCTTAATTTATTTTTATTCTTATAATCAATACTAAAAATTTGAATATTAAATATATATAAACTCTTGTTGATTTACCAAAAAATGTCTTTCTTTCGATAAATCAAAATAATGTACTTAAAAATAACTATACTATGCTTATACTATGGTGTTATAACAATAAATCAACAGTCTGTGGTTCCATTTAATTGAGCGTTGTGAGATGCGTAAATCAAAAGTTATTCACCCAGGAAGCTTCTAAATTATTTAATTATGAGTTATTTATTATATGATATGGATATTGTCATCTAAACAACAACAATAATAACAATAGTCTATTGAACAACATTATGGGGGATAAATAATTTGAATATCTTGTTCTCATTAAATCAGTTATGTTCTTGAGCTACAGAAAAATAATTTTTAACACCTATACAGTAATACCTGTGTATAGTAATAGTATAAGATCTGAACCATAGTGCCTCACGTTTTAATAAGTTTGCATTTGACATACTGAAAAAAATTATTATATATGTAAAGGTTCATTACAAGCGATATTTTTGTAAAATGGAACATTTCAAGGGTCTCCATAATACATTAAAAACTTATAATATTTAAAATGTTTGATGTGTCTTATATCTTTGTAATTACAATGTCATTACATAGAATGTTTGCAATATATTATGTCTTTTTCTCCCTCGCCTTTATCCCAACTACTTAGGGTCGGCTATCCGTATTTTAAACCTCCATTTGATACAATTTCCTATAAAATCTATGCACATACCAGTAATCTTCATATCACTCCCAATTACATCCTTTTACCTCATTTTCGGTCTTCCTCTTCTTCCACCCACACTTAATCTTATGTCTTACGTTCTCGTCAATACCATCGTTCTTTTGTACAAATAATCCTAAATATTAAAAAAAATTTACTTTACCTATCACATGCTTGTTTGTTGTTTTATATCCATTTTTAGCGCTCTCTATTTATTTCGTCAAACTCATATTTTATACATTCCGTATTACCTTTTACTAACCATTAGGTAATTCTCGTTATCAAAACTTTATTGTGAATTTTACAGAGTGATCGCCATTAATTTAATTTAACTTTTGTCAATAGATTTTAAAGTACTTCTATACAAATTAATTATCTTATCTCTAGCATAACAGTTATCGTTAATGTATCCGATATCCATTCTTTGCTTGTTTACTAACCTTGAAAATACCTATTTCTCAGTTAGTCATATAAATTTCAATAATTAATGATATTAGGATATTATTCTAAAATTTACTGATTTACAGCTAAATATTGTGTAATTTAAGTTTTTATTAAAAGATTAAACCCGAAAGGCGTATATAATCTTATTGAATATAAAAAAAATAAAAAATTGTTGGTCATTACTAGTATTTATAAATGTTATGCATGACTAAGATGTCATAAATATTTTATTTTAAATAACAAAACTAGTAAAAATGCACAATGACACAAAATATAATTGAAGTTAATGATATGATTACTCAAAAATTTTAAAGTTTATTCTTAAATCTAAAACTAATGAAAAATACAACAATATTATCTATTTTATGACACCATCATTAAACACTATAGCATTTCTTAATGTTTAAGGTCTAATAAAAACCAAAGTTAAAACGAGTAGAATGAAACTTGTGGAAACCTTTGAAATGTAATCAAACTCTTAGTCTATTGGGAGCAATTTTACTTCAAGATCTTAATGCAAAATTTTATCAACCGATCATACAGTAGAAAGGCATAAAATTGTTTAAAAACTCTTCTATTTCAATTTTATTTGTAGCTATGCAATGAACCAATGAGAAAAATAATTAATAATGTTTCTATTTGGTGTGTATAAATAGATAATAATTTAGCCATATGACGTTCAAATTACTCAGGACAGTAGCCATTTTACTGTCTACAATATTTCGGTGAATTTTATAAATAATTTTGCTTTATTTTATTTACTTATATTTCTTAATTTATCAGCTTATAATTACTCTTTAGAATCAATCCTTATAGGGGTGTCAATTTTATTTTTTTAAATAGCAACATACACATATAACTTTATTATAAAATAGAAACTTGTCTTATTAAGAAAATGTCTACAACATTGATATATAACAATTATTATTATTAATATACAACGATAACAACGTTTGAACCAGTATTTCAGAAGTTATTACCAATTAAATGTCATGCCTATTGGTGAGGAGTGGGTGCTGCTATTTTTACCACTAGTCGTTTCTCGGTCGTACTCTTCCTCCCACTTAGATATAAAAAATGTGAATTACTACCGATGTACTGGTTTAAAAGTTGTTATCGACCAGTTATTTTCATAATTAGATCATTTCCTATTTTTAAGCTAATTAATTATATATTTTGTCATTTAATAAATTAAATCAACACCCTAATAAGTTATAAGGGATGATTATAAACAATAATTATTAGCTGATAAATCAAGAAATATATGTAACTAAAATGGAGCAAAATATTTTTTTCGTATTTATTTTGAGAGTAATTGATTGGTTTATAATGAACCGATTATACTGTATACTTCACATAAACTTTTAGGATTTAAATAAAAAAAAGAAGAATTTATTATTGGAGAATAGACAGATTTTCTTCTCGTTCTTAATTATAATAATATAACATAATAAAGATATTTAAATATCATTTTAACAGATAAATTATATGGCTATAACTATTTTAACTATAACTATTTTTATTATTGTTATAACTAAAACATAACAGGCTCAACCAACGGTGTATTTAAGAAAAAAACAACAAGTTTCAAGTGTGAAATGGTACACTTAAAACTTGCAAAGTTAGCAGTTCGTTAAATTTAAACTAAAAAGAACTAGTACAATGGCGACGCGGCAAGTTGAAGGAAGTATAGATGATATCTCACAGTGATTAATATTGCTCTAATAAAAAACGCTTTGATGCAAATCTGTAGATAGTGTTTAATTTTTAAAAAGAGTTTTTGGGTTTTTCCAAAAGCAAAATCAACTACTATTTCTTTAATTATATCCTATTTATATGTTTTATGATTTATAAACATATTATATGAATAAATACTTATTATAACAATAAATTTTAATATACAATTGATAGTCAATAATTTACAATTTTAATTTTTACGGAGAAATTATAAAGTATTTTGTTATGATTTGTAATTATTACTGTTCACTGATAAGATAAGTAAAGTGGACTCTCGTTATGACGAATCTTAAGAGACACAGGAAAAGTTCGTCAATCTGGGTTTTATGATTATTTAAAAAAAGAGTAAAACATAATTTTAGGAGAATTTAATACAATTTTAACAGCTAAGAATTTAAAATAGTAAATATACTTTGAAGTATTTTTCAAAAAAATTTTGTTAGAGTCTTTTTATTATAAGGTAACATATTATATGTTTGTTAACTTTCCTCGGATACTTGAATTGGTTATTGTATTTTTATAACACGTTTTTATAGCATATTATTTTTAATATCAACTAGGTGTAAAGATTTTTACATCTCGTTAATTTTGAAAAATATTTTTCTCTTAGTTTATAAGGGGGTTCTTTTGTTACTATGAAATTTATATGGAGGAAATATAAAATTTATAACAAGATGCAAACGTTTATGAAAAAAAATGTCCTAGAACACATAGAAAATTGGTTGTAATATATTTTTAATTCAATACTGCAGAATCTTATATTATTCATATTATATCTATTTCTCGTAAGACCGATTTAATGTCGCAATATGACACATTAACGGCTTTAAAAATATGAATGTCGTTTTATGGCTAATACTAACAGATGCAATACTTCTTACTAAACATATATAATCAACATAATTTAAAAAATATGAAACATTTTAAAATGTATACTTTGAACTTTCAACGGTATACCGGTAACTTGTTAGGTACCCTTCATAGAAATAAACATAAAGCATATTTTTAAACATTTTAAAAAGTCAAATTCTCAAACGTTTTAAACTAATCCGCACGGCGATAGTTTTGTGTCGAAATAACTGTATGACAGTAAATTGTCTACGTATCAACGATTGTATACACTTCTGTCGTACAATTATTCGATTTCCGTGACACAACACTCGTGACAATTCTTACGCGGGTCTGAACTTGTCCGAAATAATCGTCGACTGATTAATCGACTGTCAGCATTTTTGCCGAAACACAGTTGACAGTTACATTGTACAGTTTTATTAAATTTCAATCAAGTGTTTTTAAATATTTTTAACATAAAGTACGTATCTATTTTTTATGTAATACAACTATATTTAGCTAAATGTAATATTATAATATGTCATTCACTAAAAAAATGGGCTATTAATGAAACGCATAAACTAATCTCAGATTATAAAAACATTTTGCACGCATCGTGTGAACTATCGTAATTTTCTGTCAGTAAAGTCCAGTATACTTTTGTACATATTCAAATCTTTTTGTGTCAAGATAGCGACTGTCTTTTCCATTTATAGTGTAAGCGCTTATTGAAGACATTTCAGAAATTTGTGCATGAAAACAATGTCACCGTGTGATCGCTGCTTTAGCGCAAAAATATATAAAGATTATTGTGTGTCAATTAAAAATGTTATTTTGGCTATTTTTAAAACTGTAAAATTTAATGCGAGTGAATGAATGTAAACAAGATAAATTGAACAGAAGATGTCAATTGCTATTTTTGGAATGAAAATTTTAACACAGTACTGTTAGTGATCTTTATAAATAGTAGTGTTTTGTCTGGTAAACGAATGTGTACGACATGTAGCCATTAACCAGACTACTAATTTAGCGTACAACCCATAGAAATTACAAGCGCTTAATACTTATGTATAATTTACAAATCAAAACATTTTATGTCAAGTATTCGATAAAAGTTTGTATCCTTTGAATTCATCACGAGTC